CGAAAAAGGGGAGGAATTGGGGAATTTGTCTGTAAAATGTTGTTTGCAAAATGATGGGGACTTGTGTAATATGTTTGATATAATGCGTTTGATAAATGTCAATCATGTTGAGGTCATGGTAACTGGGCAAGATAAAGAGTCACATGTGGTGGTTGATGATAATTTGCTTGAAGATGTTCATATTTGCGATGATGGTGTTGAGTCTGATGATGATTTACTCCCTCGCTTTTGCTCACATACGAAAAAAGTATTGTTGACAGCTGGGTGGTCAAATGAAATAAGACATGTAAGCCAAAAGTTTGAAGGTGGCGTCACACATTTCCAGAAAGCTCTGTGCAAATACTCAATCGAGGTTGGATTCACGTTTAATTATGTGAGGAATTGTAGGGATAGGGTTATTGCTGAGTGCGAGTCGAAGTATGATAAAGGGTGTGGTTGGCATGTCAATGATACTATTCAGAATCTTAATGGTTTCTTTTACATACGAAAAATGAATAATGAAGACACCTGTGGAGTAGCATTGCGAACCACAAAGAACAAGAGATTGTCTTGAAATATGATTGCAAATTTGATTGTTGATAATGTCCGTGACCAGACGTCCAGTCGACGTGTTTAGTGATTTTCTTACATCTTATGGTCTTGACATATCTTATCATCAAGCATGGATGGGAGTGGAAAAAGTAAAGGGTATGCTTTCTAGGGATTATATTTTGTCGTACAAACAATTACATTGGTAAATGGATGCTGCGAATAATACAAACCCTGGAAGCCATATAGTTTTGCATTGTGATGATGAGACTAACCGCTTCCATAGATTATTTGTGTACTTCAAGGCTGAATTGAAGGTTTCAATTATTGTCGTCTAATTTTATTCATTGATGAGACATTCATTAAAGGAAAGTACAAAGGAAGCATTCTTTCGCCAATTGGGAAGGATGATAATCAGGGTATAAGTCTTTTAACTTCTTTTTTTATGTGCGTCTTGATTTTGTATTTTATTTGTCGTATTTGGTCATTTTACTTTTTCTTAGTGTTTGATTTTTCATAGTTACTGTAGATGTGTTTTGTATTTTCATTTTTATGCTTAATAAAAAATGGTGTTTATGCAATTTTTTTTTGTTAACTGTATATTGTAACTGTATAATGTCTATATTATGTGATACTTAAGTAGTGTAACTGTATGTGTTTATTGTAACTATTTTAATATAACAGGTTGTTGTATATTGTTGTTATGATGTGAATCTGTAGGCTATTATTTTAATATTTTACTTAACTATATACATTTACCTTTGTGTTTAAGGATTATACCCACTATCATTTGTGATTGTTGACTCAGAAAATGAGGCAAATTGGTTATGAGGCAAATTGGTTATGGTTCTTACAACAACTGTTAGAGATTTTGGATCCGAATAGAGAAATTACATATGTCTCTGATGGTAATGTTGGTTTGTTGGAAGCCATGCCAAATATTTTTCCAAGGTGTCACCATGCTTTCTGTTTGCAGAACTTGAAGGTGAACTTGAGGGACAAGTTCAGTGGTAGTTGGTATTCAAATGGATTTAAGGAGCATATGGTGGTGTTGTTGCGTGAGCTTGCTTATGCCCCCACCATTTCACTGGTTACCCAAAAAATTGAAGCTTTCTAATGTGAGGGTGGATACATTGTCGAACATTTTTTGGATAAGCTTCCATACGAGCATTGGGCAAATGCATACTTTAGAGGTAGACGTTACGGTGAGATGAACTCTAATGCAGTGGATTCATTCAATTCGTGGATAATGAAGACACAAAATTTACCCATTATGAGCATGATTGACATTATCAGGTGTCAAATTATGAATCAAATGGGTGCTAGGATGAACATTGCGTGTACATGCAATGAAAATTTATGTCATGAGATGGATTCAAGATTACAAGTTGTATTTGCCAAAAGCAGGTCTTGGTCTGCTAGTGTTTCGAACAATGATGTGTATAAAGTTAATTCAAATCCTTCTATTTTAGTCGACATTCAGAATGACATGTGTTCATGCTTTTAATGACAGATTAATGGGTTCCCTTGTTCTCATACAACAGCGGCAATACATAAGAGTGAGAGAAATATGAACGAGTTTGTTGATTATTATTATCATGTTAGTACATATAAGAAATCATACGCTCAATCTATACTCCCAATCCCGACTATTGGTCCTTCGGACTTCAATGTTGATGAAGTTGAGATTTTGCCACAATCAACAAAGAAGCAGTCGGGCCGACCAAAAAAATGTAGAATTAGGTCAATGGGAGAACTTATTAGACGAATTCGATTTGGTCGTCGTGGACGGTTAGGTAGTCACAACAAGAAAACTTGTAAAAAACCCTTGTGATTGGATTATTATTTTTAATTAATAAATTTGTTATTTGAATTTTTTTTTTCAGTTGTTGTTTTATTTTGTAGTCGTTCTTTTATGGATATATTAATATGGAGGTTATAATATGGGTGCAACTTTCTGTATGATGAGTAATTTTTTGGGGATAACTGAACATTGTAGCAAAACATGAATATATCCATAATTTTTGTTTTATACAATTGGGGTGAAGGGAATAATAATAATATGGGAAACTAGTTAATTGTACTTTTAAAACTTTCTTAATGTCATTTTAATGACTAAAAGCAAAACTGGAAAAAGTTACACCAAATCTATATAATTAACAGTAACTTTATATACATGTTACACCAAACAATTACATGAAACAATATTGCCAAACAAACAGTAGTGCCAAATGGTTACACCAAACATATTCTCCAAACTGCTTAAAACAATAGATCACATGAAAGAGTCACATCATTTTTTTTTTACAACTAATCAACACTTTATTTCATTGCTCAAAAAAATAATTACAATGAAAGAAAAGGCAGACAAACCCTGCCTTATTCCCAATCCAATCAACAGAGAAAGAAAAAAAACAACGATCAACCTGCATCATTTTTCTTTCGTCAACTTCTACAGCCCTTGTTTATCCTAAAGCATCAGCATTTTGGCTCACAAAGGAAGCTTGAGATCATGAGAGAAGTCTGTGGAGAAGCCATCCCTCACTGCCTGGAACCCACATAAGACAACTAATTTCCTCCAAATAACAACAAAATAATCACACTGAATAAACACATGCTCTATAGATTCCACTGCATGGCCACATAATACACATTTACTTGCTAGCATCACCCCAATCCTTTGAAAATTTGGACCAACTAACACAACATTTTTATATATCTTCCAACCTAGAAGCCTTGCACTAGGACAAGTAGCCTGCTTCCAAATTACAGAAGCAACTCTAAACATGTTACATCAAACAATTAGTGCAAAGTAGTTAAGATTTCATCATGAATAGGTTCACAAAATACTGGAAAGCATTTGAGGCAACCGATGTTTATCATATGATTTGAAATTCCATATGATAAACAATATCCATTACATACACCATACAAAGTGTTCATTTAATGATTCCCAAAAAATACAACAACATCTCAAATATGACTATTCATATATTTTCTTCAATTTCATCATTTCGTGGAAATCATTTAGTGTCCAAGAATTGGAATGATTTAAGAACATTTCCATCGTTTCTGTCAAAAATGTTTTCACTTGTGCAACTGCCAACTTTTCTTGTATGTCTTCGTCCTTTGCAAGCTGTCTCATTATGTAGCAAACGAATAGTCGACAATCGAACCTACAATATAGGTTTTGTTACTACCATTTCTTTGAATTTGTATGAATTAAAGTTATAAAGTAATATGCACGAATTTGCCCCTTGTTGTGAACTTTTTACATACGATGTCATTGGAAGAACATTGTCCGAGGGGTCAATGTCAATTCCATCAACCGCTTGCATTTCACTAATTTTTTGTTCAACATAATCTTTCTGCATTTTTTCAATGATAGATGTAAGTGATGGATATGATATTGCAAAATTTTTAAAAAATGGGTATTAGTTGTTTTTTTTACCAATATTCTTGCATCCTCCAGCCACACGTCCCTCCTCACTTTTTGTGGTTTCATAGAATTGTAGTGTGTCCAAGATCCAACGTAAATATCCAACACTAAGACTATCCAATGCCAAGGTTCCACAAGGTTGTTTTGACCATAGTAATTCATGGGAAATACAAGAAATTGACGATCTCTTCCCAAAAATGTGAGGTTTTTGTCAATTTGGTCTTTGCATAAATCCATATTTTTTTGTAACGAACATCTACAAATATTCCATTTTATGGACAATTAAAATGAAATATAACGATACTGAAATAAAAAAAAATATTTGAATAAATTTTAATGTACCCAACATAGACTGTTGAAGAAGAAGCAACGTTTTTTATATGTTGACTGCTCGTTGTTTGCATCAAGTTCATGCAGCATATCTCCCCGGCAATCTATGATCTGTTACAGTGTATAAAACGACATCCAAAACAGAGTGAGTAAGGTTTTTCAAATGCAACATATGTGGACTTAACAATTACACATACAGACCAATGTTGAAACATGAACAAATTAAAAAAATAGGAAACAGTCACACATAATAGATGCAAACGAATTAGATATTAAATTGTTTAAATTCGATACAAGATGCAAATTATACTTGGTGCTATCTAACAGATTATAGGAAAATATTTTAAGTCGTACAATACTGTGATGTGGACAAAAAAATATTTAAGTGTAATATGTACACTATTGTACAGTTTACATCCTCCCATCAGTTTCAATGCGTCTTTAACATTTATGTAGCTTCCAATTGAAACACCAGACCAAATGGGTGTCGTACATGGTCAGAGCACAATCATATAAGGTAAGTTCATAATTTGTATAAAAGTACAGTGAGTAAATCCACGGATTTTAACGAAATAACTATAGCATAATCATAATACGTAAATGTTGGAATATATAATATACGTATATAGGTCCTTTTGTATCATTGATTTTTTTTAATTGATCATAGATAGACAGATTCGATGTCTGACAAATCTTCCATAACGTTGCAATTTCCTTATCGTGTTTCTCTTTTTCTTTCGTTGCACTAATCTTTTCTGCTTCATCCGCAAGGGTGATAATTGAATGTGAATTCTCAATGTGTCCCTTGTCCCTTTTCTTATTGCTATACTCGTAATCCTCATATCTTTTTATCTTCCTCTCCTTAGTCTTCAGCTTTTGGACCATTGACGTTTGACCAATATCTGCACTGTCATTAGGCTTGGTGGTGTGCAAATTTTGAGTGATGTTGTGAACTGTCAACTCACTTATTTTATCTACTAATTCTGCATTTCCAGCTTCTAATATTTTGACATTCTCTTTTAATGTCACATTTTCGGCCTCAATTGCGTGTTTTTCAATACGCATTGTATGAACCAATGTCTCAAGTTGCACGATTTTTGTGTCTCTATCAACTATTTGCGACATAGAATCGGTCATTTGTGATGTGTGAACATTATAATCGGATGGAATGTCCCGTTACACTTCAGCTTGGTGCATGAAATCATCATGAAAATCCTAGTTAACCAATATTGTAAACAATTACCAAATACAGTTACATCACAAAGTTACATACAAAACAGTTACACCATAAAATTACAACATATTAGATAGTACAAGAGTTACCCCAAAACAAACCATCAAGAATAACATACAGTTAATCAAATATGTACCAAAAGGATTGCACCACATAGTTTACTATCTAGAAAAAAAAAAAAAAACTTTCATCCAACAGATACCAAAAGTGTTGAACCATATAGTTAACATGTTAAACCAAAAACAATTACACAACACAGTGCTGAAATAGTTACACAACCATAAGTACCAAATAGATGCACCTAATAGGTTACTAACTATACAGAAACAATTATGCCAATCAGGTATAATATAGTTACACACAACAGGGATCACAAAACTATGCAACAAATTCCCATAGAGTTACAACAAGAAAAGGTATGAATATTAAACAAAGAAAAGACAATATAACATTTAATTTTATATATACCTTGTGATGCCCCATGTCAACAGTGTTTTGCACGCGTCTTTTCAACGCTTCATTCTCATTGGACAACTCGACAATCTTTTCTTGGTTGAATTTATCCTTTATCATCAACTCAGAAACAATCCTTTGAGTTTCATCTCTTTCTCTTATAATGTTGTCCTTTTCACTGTCATTCCAAACATCATGTTCTCTTGATTGCCTTTCTGTTGGTTGGGTAACATTCACTTCAACTAAGTCAGCCAATTGTCTGATTTCATTTGACCATTCATAATCACCACTTGATGGCTTGCCAACACCATTTTCTTCTGTGTCAAGTTGTTCATTGTCATCTAACTCCTTCTCCATTGCTTTTTTCGCTTTTTTTTTTGCATTCTTCTTTGATGAGATAAAAATCCTTTCTTCCTTAGTTCTCTTCAATCTTTGTTCCATAATCTGAGGATAAAATAAATTTAATTAACAAACTGTGACATAGTAACCTTTGTCAAAACAGTTACAAGTTATAGGGATTACAATATATGAATTGAGACTTACATCATTTTCCATGATGTTTTCCAAATATTTTGTTTGATTGCCCTATTCAGACTTGGTAAGTTCCATTTCAGGAACCAAGGAAATGCCCTTTCAGTGTTGGGAGTTATCATGGAGGTGTGTTCACACTACTAGTAATGCAACATACAATATCATGATAATTAGATCATATTGGGTTATAGCAAAGTAATTTCAATTCTCAAATTAACATATTACTTTTATTAAAACACTAACCGGTATTAAGAGGACGCATCTATTAATAGCCGTCGGCGTTTCCTCTTCTTCTTTAAGGATGAAAGCAGAGTATCAATTATAGCTTCGAACCAATTGTATTTTCTACATGCATCCAAATTTTCAATTTATGGTACAAACCCCAATTCATTGTGTTTCCCGTTACTGGGAAAAATAGTGTTGCCAATAGATAAATACATAATAATCTAGCCAAGTCATCATAACTAGTCTCACTGTCCACTTTGGATGCTTGTTTTAGCTTACTTCTTATCAATGTTGTTGTCAACCTCCGATCCTTTTTGAACCAGCGTTCAGTAAAGGGTGTAAACGATTTTCCATGTATTGTACAATCAATCTTTTCACACCCATCTAGTATCTCAAATATTAGAGTCACATCACTAGGACGCAACCTCAGTTTTTTGCTTTCGATATTGAATCTTGAAGTATCAGAATTGAAACATAATAGTATTTCAAGAATGCAGCTGTCACTTTTACGGCACCGTGTTTTCTCCATATTTTGGTCAATGATACATTCAAAAAGCAACAAAAACGGAGTCTTTTTCAACGCTATCTTGTGAGACTCATTTAATTGAAGTTCTTCAATTGCCCTAATAATGACAAGCATATTTGATCTATATTGAGGCTTGTACCTTGCACCAATGATGTATAATTCACTTTGATTATCGTTTATATCAACATTTGTCTTTGTTGCTTGTGACTTCTGATGTGGAATTTCTTTGCTACACCTTATAGCAGGTCATTTTTTTTTAAGATTGTTTCTTCACCATAACCTGTTTAATGCATCAACTATGTTAAGGTATCATACAGTAATATATGGTGTATCTATATTAACATAACCACTAGTCCACACATTGGTAACTATTTAACTCACTAGAATGGGATTGACCTAAATTTTTAGGAGCATTTTAACTCAATTGCACATAGTAACTATTTTTAGGGACACAAGTAATGGTTACGAATCACTGTAGGCTATAACTAAGTTTCATATCATGAATTTATACATGTAACATACCATTTGTCTCAATAGATACTCAATACAGTTACAACCATTTAGTAATATAAACTCAACACAGCTCCTCAATGGATACTCAATACAGTTACCAATAACATATATAAGATTGGAATACTTAAAATCACAAAATAGTTACTCTATACAGTTTCAACCATTAATTTTTGAATATTAATTGTTTGTAATTTGTGATGACAAATAGTTACTTAAAAATAGTTACGTAACTATTTTTAATCAAAAAAATTTCATCTTTAAAATAGAGTAAGTCATAGCCATGGCATGATGAAGAATATATTGTGTAGTTTGTTGGGGCTATTTTTAACAGGAACATGCACAATATCTATCAGAAGGAAGTACAAAACAAAGTTCAAAGTTCTTTTTTTTTCCCTTTCTTTCTTTCATTCGTCCCATGAATGTTTGAATGGTTTGGTTGTCTCAAAATGGAACAATGAAGCACACTATCTCAAAATATCACCTCAAAAGTTTTTTTTTTTTTTTTTTTATGTTGTGGAGGGTACCACAACTAACTGGGTTCCGTAATAAAACAAGTATTGGACATGTCTGCCCTCAACAGATGAATAATATGGTCAGGTGGCTCATCAAGAACAACCAAATCAGCAAATTGGTTCACTCCCAAATTTGGAAGGCAGTAGCGCATTGATTCCCCTCAAAAGTTCTAAAACCAGTCAAAATAGTCCTTATATGATCCCATCATAAGACCTCAAATCACGAGCAATTGAAAGGTCATTGCTGAGTTTGGCCCTGCCACACAGACTTGGTTGAAACTGAATTGAAAGGTCAATACAATTTCAACCATTAATTTTTGAATATTAACTGTTTGTAATTTGAGATCACAAATACTTGCTTAAAACAATTACGTTCCTATTTTTAATCAAAAAATTCTTGTTTCAAAGTGTTTTTTCATCTGCAAATACTTTAACTTTTGTAATTAGGTTACTCAATCGTTAATTACAAACCTGCAGTTTGTTACTATCATTTCACCAAAATAGGGTTTTATTTTTTTGTTTTTTTTTCAAAATCAAACAACACAAATTGTGAAAAAAAAAATTAATGAATGACAAAAAAATGAAACATGAGTGTCACCTGCAATTTCCTGTGAAGAAGTTGCCAGAGACGATAAACAGTTACTGGACCGTAGATGACGATGAACAGCTAGATGAATAGTAACTATCATAATCCTCTTTTTTTTTTGTGGACAATGAATAGTCACAATTTTGGCATTCCCATGGACATAGAATCCATATGGCAAAGAAGAAGGATTTTGATAGATAAACCCCCTATTTTACCTCCCATTACTAGATTGTAGCCAAAAAAAAAAAACGGATGGAAGACGATAGGTTTCCATACATCTGCTGTTTACCAATGACAATAGTGGCATTTTAAAAAAATATGCACTTTACCCCAAATAAGTTTTTGAGTTGTACTTTTGCCCAAATAAGTCTAAACAATTGTACCGACTTCCAAATTCCCCCCAAAAAAAGGTACTGAATCAAATTCCATGACCATTCTTAAATACAAATTCCAAATAAGCCAGAACTACAAAATTTTCAAGAGTGAAAATAAATTAAAAGGATGGCAACATTGGCAGTTTCTTGCCCTATGAAGTGACTAAAGTTGCTAGACAAAGGAAACTCCGATCTAAAACCTTGGTAGTTTCTTGCCCTGTGAAGCCGCAAATTAAACAACTTGAGTATACACTATATAGTATATAATACAACTTGTTTGCATAATAAAATATATCATGAGTCTGAAGAAATGATACACTATTATTTACTTGCACATGAAAATACTATGGTGAGAACTTGATGTATGTAGCACAACATTATGAAACGCAACATCACGAGGCATGACAGAGTATAAATTTAACTTCATTTATTTATAGGGATTGAGGTTCTTAGCCATCAAGCATACAATTATATGATGTTAATATCCTCCAAACTAGAATCATAATTACCATAGATGTAATAAAAATAGGAACAAATAGAATTGATGTGAAAAACAACAACTTTACATTTCATTCGAGAGTGACTACCAAGCTGCTGCCCTTCTCCGATCTTGTGTAGCATGTCCATTGTCGAAGGTCACTGATGATGCACAAATTAGTTTGCACACCACCTATCAATTAAGTAGTATAAAATACAGTAAAGTAGAGAGAGAGCGAATACCAAGTTTATAGTAGTTTGGTCAAGGTGACCTACGTCCACTTGAAATGGCAAGGGTCTTCGGGATTTTATTAACTCAAGTGTAGTGGGAGAGCAAAAGGTTACAAGCTTTAAGAGAGGATGAGAGAATTATCTCGAATAAGTTTGATACCCCCCAAGTGTTAGTGGGGCTTACAATTTATAGTCGTTTCATAGCGCATAGTAATTGAATAACTAGTCTAGCAGTCATAACGGATTAGGGCGACTTAATAGTCATAACGGATTGAGGCGACTTAATAGTAATTAAATAGTTTGATGACCTTTTCTCAATGAACAAGGCAGTTATGGTGCTTGAGATTCGGTTTCCAAGGCGGTGAGGGTGAGGCCT